ACCTATCTCTCTCTCTCTCTCTCTCTCTCTCTCTCTCTCTCTCTCTCTCTCCTCCCACCAGCACCTTCTTTCCTCCCTCCCTCCCACTCTCTCTAAAAAGCAATGGAAAAAATATCCTCAGGTGAGGAATAATAAAAAATAAATAAATAAAAATTTAAAAAAAATGTGAAGGGAAAAAAAAAAAAAGCCCTCTTCTTGGACATTACAAATTATAATAATTAAAATAAATGCTGGGAGACAAAGTTGAGGAAGTATCTGGAATAGGTGAACCAGATAAAGTTGGAAAATATAAATGAAAAATACTCTTCAAGGGTTAGTTAGTATAGGTATTCCAGAAAGAAAAAGAAAATGATGAGGAAGAAAATTTCTGGGAAATCAAAAAAAATTTTTTCAGCATTGGTGGATACAAGATTTAAGGTTAAAAGGGCCCACCAAATACATAGCTCAATGAATGGAAAATGATCCTCACCATTGAGAAAACTTTTACAAAGGGCATTTTGCAATACGTATGAAAATTATTAATGCATATATCTTTAAAGCAGCACTTCAACTTCTGGTAATTTATTGTATAGATAATCAGTCCTTGCCTGTGTATGAAATTGTATACAAAGTTATTGTTATAATAGCAGAGGATGAGAAATAAGCCAAATGCCCACCAGTAAGGGACTGATTTATTATAGATTATCTCTGACAATGGAGCATCTTCCAAAAAAGAGTAAGGCAGCTCTCTATGTCCTGAGGTAGAAGATTGTTTAGTTTATTATAAAGTGAAAAGAGTGATGAAGAGTGTTATTAGCAGTGGTTCTCAAGTGTAGTTTGTGGCTCCCTTTTTATAGGGTCCATGAGGAAAAAACTACTTTCATAATAATACTAGGATATTGTTTGCTTTTTCACTGCATTGGTACATATACTGATAGTGCAAAACCAATGATGGAAAAATTGCTGGTGCCTTAAAACGCCTCAAACTAGTGGCCCCCAACTATACTGTTAGTCTTTGTGTTCTTTACTATCACACACTTGGAATACCAAAGAATGTCTTTAATAAAGCAGTAAAAATTATTATTTTTCTTTGAAAATCTTAGCCTTGAGTGGAATGTAGGCATAAAGTACTTTTGCTGCACATTGGAGTAGTTGTCTTAAGGAAAAGCACTTGTATGATTGTTTTAGTTGCAAGCTGAACTAGCCACTTTTTCATGAACACCATTCTTAAAGAACAAAACTATGATTATGGATATTTGGCAGCCATTTTGTAAAAAATGAACTAAGTCTGTAACTTTATAGAAAACAAATGACATAAGATTTGAGCTCCTGAACAAAAATTAGTATTTTGGAAAATTTGTATTCATCATTGTGATCTTGACAGCTCCTGTTACATCTTGACAGCCATTTCTAAGATTGATGGTGGTCTTTTGATGTGAATGTGACTTTTTAATATTGTATAATGTGTCAACATTTGGAATATATGCATAACTCAGTCAACCAATATTTTTTTTAAATATATTTTTATTGATTTCAGGGAGGAAGGGAGGGGGAGAAGAGAGAGACATCAATGATGAGAGAGAATCATTGATCAGCTGCCTCCTGCACGACTCTGCTGGGGATTGAGACCGAAATCCAGGCATGTGCCCTAACTGGAAATTGAACCGTGACCTTCTGGTTCAGAGGTTCGATGTTCAACCACTGAGCGACACCAGCCAGGCTCAACCAATATTTTCCAAGTGATCAAATGTAACAGAATACATAATCTCACTGATGTGGTTTCTAATTCCATGCTGTGAATAGTCTTTCAGAAATGATGACTTGCTGAGTTGTTTTTTTTTTAATTAAATCTTTATTGTTCAGATTATTACATTTGTTCCTCTTTTTTCCCCCCATAAACTCCCCTCCTTCCAGCTCCC